TCATAAGACGATGAAAAGTGTTTCTCTAGTAGTTTGGAGGCCTAACTTGATAAAAAAATGAAAGATTTTTAACATTTCATGTAAATATTTTTAGTTTATTAGGTCGTTTCTCGACATGCTAATTGTGCCAAAATGTTGATATGGATCCAATAATAAATTGATGAGACTCTTAAATTGTTGGGCTTGATGTTAATTTAATACCATGTCGTAGAAAAAACAAAGAAAAAAATAATTTTTGATAATGCTTTCCTCATATAGCTCAAAATAAAATATGAAAAGAACAAGAAAAAGCGTTTTAAGCAATTTTATCGAGTCTCCTATCCAATAGGGACTAATGTTAATTCAAAATTAATCATATTTTTGTAATTAGATTATTCTTCAATATACCGATTATGTCGAGACTTAAATTGAATCCAATGATGGATTGAAGAGACTCTCGATATTAGGATCCGATGATCGATTCAATATGATATTACAAACAAAATAATAATAATAATAATAATAATAATTTGGATTAGATAATAAACTTGAAAATTGACTCGAAATATTTTGGCAAAAAAACAAAACAAAACTTTTAGGATTACACCGTACATGGTACCTTTCTTCGGAGAAGGTGTATTTGGGTGATTGATATCTTTTTAAAAGCATAATCAACTTCTTGTCTTAAAATTTTTAAACCAAGTGTCAATTAATTAGTTATTTATGAAATCCAATCATGATTTATAATCTCTTTTTGTTTAATATTCGAATAAAATTTTGATTCTAATAATACGAATTTGTTAAATATCTACAACAAAATTTATATTTTATAACAACAAAGAAAGCACAAAATTTAAAAGAGATAATAACACACAACATTCCTATTTGATCTCTTAATTAAATTATTTTGAAAAATTACAATTTGTTTGAAAAAAAATTTTCTTAAAAAAATTGAAAATGACATTTTAAAACAAATGCATTTTTGAACGATATTGTCGTAATTGATTTATCACAATGTGAATTTGGCTCATTTGACTTTATTCGCAGATCTTAATCAACTCGTTTGGCAAATTACTTACTAGAGACACTTATTTTACATGCTTCAAATTGTTTTATTAGAGGAAAAAAAAAAACAAAATTAGAGAACCGGAGGACTAAACATTAAATAAACTTTTAATTAATTAATATATAGATAGATTGAAGTACCTCATTAGATAGGTTCCAATCCTAAGAGAATGACCTCCCATGATTAAGGCAACCATTGATTCTTCACTTATTTCGTAAAAATAAAAAGAAATGACTATAAACATATGATGAAAAGCAAAACAAGACCGTGCTTGATGATGAACTAGTTAATTAAGCAAGAAAATGACATTGAGCAAATGGAGTTGGATAGCATTTTTTATGTGTCCATTATTTCATCCGTCCTTCTAAATGAGTTCAATAAGAATGCTAACAAAATTTGAGTTTTTCTTGTTATTATTGCTTTCTATTTTACAGTGTCTTCTTCATGCGTTTTTCGCTTTTGATTCTTCGTTATTTCAAGAGTTGAGGATGGGTTTTTCCTAATTATGGAAACATGATATGTTATTTGGAACTAAGGACAAGACGCCATATAAAGAGAATGCTTGGAAGTGCACTTTGGGTGTTAAACTTGGCGCGACTAGATTTGTTTTCCCTTGCCTTCTTATTTTTATTTGTCTTGTTATGTAATCTTTCTCGTTTTGTGTGTCTAGTATACTCTTCTTTATATTTTGAGTCCAGATTGGAGAAAATGTAAGTTTTAAGTATGGAGGAAGGGATTTAAGTTGTGTTTTTAATTTTTTTTTTAAATTTAGTATTTTTTGTTTGTAGGTTGTCTAGAATGTTTCTCCAATGTTGTTTAAGGATTTATGTATCATAAAATTAGGCAAAATTAAGATGAGAATGTCATAACATGATTGAATGAATAACTTGCATGCCTAGGCTAAAGATGACTTGGGTTTGATTTTGAAGAGTATTAACTTGTGCTTGGTAGACTAAAAATGTTCTTAGGTGAGCTTTTGAGCCTTATTTGGATCGAAACATTACATGTCAATCTTCTAATTTCTCTTGTTGAGTTTTGTTCATTCATGATTGATTTCTCTTGAACTTGCTTCTAAAGCTAGTCGAGACTACATTTCCACATACATGCATAAAGATGATGATGACAATTAGGATTTTAAACACTTTGACTTAAATAGCCTACCTTATATGTTATCTTTAGTGAGCCCCTTTTGAGTACAATTAACTCTTTTCTTTGTGATAATCTATTATACGAGCTTTGAAATGAATCCATCTATTTTATCTACCTTAGAGCTAGTAGAGCATTTGGAATGTGATGACTCGAGTTTTGAGAAGGTGTTTGTTTATTAAGTGTGGGGGTGTTGTGTCTTAATGCATATGGTTGGGAAATATGAGAGAAAAGTGGAAAGTAATGAGAAGATGAGCTTTAGTACTTATGCTTATGTCTTGTGCGTTAAATTTCATAGTTGTCATATAAAGAAATGAAAAAAAAAGGACAAGAATTCATTCACATGCGAAAAAAAGAATCTTAAGTACTAAACTAGGCACAACATGAGCTTCGGATATCGAAATTAGATGATTCAAAAGCCCAAATTCATCTAAACATCCGGAGTTATAATATATATGTTACTAGGTCAAAACTGAGATTAAACTTGAGACTATGAATATGTCTAGATTTTGTCTCCTAATTGAAAGAAAGGAAAGTTTAGACAAAAAAACAATAGTGTTTGATGATGATGGTTGGTTATGGTTTTGGGTCTTAATTGTTTTATCTACCTAAATTTTATGTTTTGAATGCTCTATTAGTTTCTTTGGTTTTACCTTCTTATCCAAATTGTTACCTACCTTTATCTTATCTCCATTACAAGAAATGAGTTTCATTTTAAAGAAACAAAAGGTTTAGTTTCGAATTGGATGTTTTTTTATTATTGGTTTTAATTTAATCCAATATCTCAAAAACAGATGAATAAAATATTAACTTTTTAAATTATATATATATAATTCATGTAATGTTACGTAACTTTTGATGGGATGAAACACTTTTTTAATATCTATTTCATGTTAGATTGGCTGAACTCAAGTTGGACAAAACTTTTATATGATGACAAAAATTCATGCCATTAGTGTGCTAATTTCTAATTTTAAATTTCAGTTATATAAAATAAATTCTAAACTTCAAACAAAATCATCTATGGACAATTATTACTGCCGTAAATTGGTTTTGACCACTAAATTTTATATAAAAAATAATCCAAAAATTCTAGAATTTCGAAAAAAAAAAAAGCATCTTGCGTGTTTATGTGATTTTAGTTATCTTATAACCATATTGCCGTTTTTCTTTAATTTTGGACAAGCAATTGAAAAAAGACAGGAAAAAAAAATGAAAATGAGATCAGGATAAAATTCAAAGAAATAACAAAAAAGAGGGGCAAAACAACAAAGAAGAAAATACTAAGGATTGGAACTGGAAAGGCGAATGAATACAGGGAACAATTTAATTTTTTTCCCTCATTTAACCTAACATACAGTTTTGTCCTCTAAATTTTCTTTCTTTCTTCCTTCCTTCCTCTAGGCACACTTTCTTCTTTTATGCCTAGAAAGGTGGGCAGCCATCCTTTCCTCCTCTCATGCTCTCCATCCTATCAAAACTGACAAAGTACTAAATCTTAGACGACTCTGATAAAATTTCTGCCTATGATAAAAAACACACCATGACAACTCTGAGCTTATTTGTAAATAAATCTCAACCAATTACAAACTCATAATATATCTCAGACAAGTCATCAGTCTACTCAACCGATAAGTACGTACGGTGGCAATTGTTCTGATCATATATATATATATTACTAACACAAATATTATTATACTCTTAATAATAATATAAAATAACCTACCAAGTATGCAATTACTTACTTACAGCCACTAGTAATTCTCATGGACAAGCATTGACAAGGCACCAAAAAAAAAGAAAAAAAGAATCCTATTATTTCTTCATCTGAATCTTGAATTCTTGATTTTTTTTTTAATAACCTTTTTGAATAAATTAATCAAATATTGATCAGCTTCCTTTGAATACCTTCAAATGTTGAAGAAGATTGCATATATGCAATATCCCAAGTAGAACTATTTTACTTGTTTTGAGCTTTGCTGAGACCAGTACTAGTTGATTGATCGATGTCCAGGATCGAAATTCTTGGAGTAATTGAAAGAATCATACTTGCAATTTTATAGCAAAGTGAATTTGGCTGATTTGACTTTATTCTGAGATCTTAATCAACTGGTTGTCAAATTACTGACGAGAGACACTTATTTTTCATGCTTCAGATTGTTTTATTAAAAATAAATAAACTAAAATTAGAGAACCATAGGACTAAACATTAAATAAACTCATAATTATTTAATATATAGTTAGATCAAAGTACCTCATTAGACCGGTTCCAATCCCGGGAAAATGGCCTCCCATGATTAAGGCAACCCTCGATTATTCACTTATTTTGTAAAAATAAAAAGAAATGATTAAAAAAATTCCATAACATTTTAATCTTCGTGCTAAACTTTGGCATAAATTAAAACAAAATATATAAAGCATGGACTCTTAATTAATTTTTGATCAACAAAAACTTTGTCACAAACCCTTTTTGCTCTTAAAATACTTATTGATATGATCCAGTAAACTTGTAGGCGATAGATCATGCATGATTAGTCAATAACCATATATGCAGTACGTATGCATGGCATTGAATTGGTGAATTTGATCAGGAAATTAATCTCAAAATTCAAGTGCGAGTCCAATATTTTTGTAACCGCATTGTAAGATTGGTGAATAGATTGTTGGAAGCTATGATTAATAAAATAAAAGCCAGAGCTTGTTTATAATATAGTAAAACACAATTAGGAAAGAGTGTAATTATTCTATATTGTTGCTATTATTTTATTCTAGCTCTTACCATTAATTAAGAGCCAATCTCAAGTTCTAATCAGGGAACCAAAGTCTGGCTTGGAACAACCTTAACAGGCACTACAGATGGTGCTGATGGCGATGGAGTAGTGGAATCGGCAGCTTCCTCGCAGTAGCCTTCAAGAATTTGGCCCTCTTCAGTGGTAAAGCCCAATGTATCAATCATATTAGGCCAGCAATGTTCACGAATGGTCCTCAAAGCTTGGCAACAGCTATGACCAAGTTGAGTCTCACCATTAAGGAAGAAAAGAATAATCTCCCCAGAACATGCTTGTAGTTGCACCAAAGAGTCCCAGCAATTTGGTGACTCTCCTTCCAATTTTAAGCGAGCCATAAGGGTTGAGATTGAGGCCAATGGTCGTGCCTCGGCCTCGTAGCAGTCCAAGCTGCTGCATGCCAAGAAACCAATGAACATAAAGAGCTTAAGGTTAAAAGCCATTTCGAAAGTAATATAGAGAGTGATGTTAATTAGATGAGGTAAATGTGTGATAAAATTTCTCATATTGTTGTACCGTATTCCTGAGTGATTTATATAGGAATACAGCATGATGTTGAAGCAATTTTGAACGTTACGTTAGTTGAAAGTGAAAAGGCTGGAAATGACAAGACGTGGAGGAAATAGGAAGACAAAAAGGCAATAACCATCAACCAAGTTTACATTCTTAAAGCCAATTATTCCAGCAACTGGCCATAATTAAAAAAGCACTAGTTAACTAGCAGCTAGCTATGAACGGATAATTAGATTGTCTAATAAATTTACTGCTTAATAAGTGTTTTCTGTCTTTTCAGTTGCTTTGTGCTCAGTGTAAATATTCAATAGGATGCTATGGTAGGATACGATAGTAATGGAGGCGAGGTACGAGCTGATATTTTTATGGCCAACTCCTGTTCGTTTCTCTCTCTTTTTTTTTTTTTTCTTTCGAAGCAATTTTCAAACCTCCAATGAAAATCTACATGATTTTTTCAAATACTAAATTTCCATAAAGTATATAAGCGATTAAAAATAAAATATTTTACATTTAAGAGATAAAGTTAATCACTTAATCTTAGGGGAAACAAAATATATAAATTATTTTACATATACGATATTGAAATAGTAATAATATATATCAATTCAAATATTGAGATTTATCGAGATCAAAAATACTTCTGTTTTCATATAAGCAAAAGTCTCTCCAAGTCAGCCTCCATTAATGAATGAGGGTGCAATTGTATCCCTATGCTCGGAAGAGTTTTTCAAATACTAAATTTCCATAAAGTATATAAGCTATTAAAAAATAAAATATTTTACATTTAAGAGATAAAGCTAATCACGTAATCTTAGGGAAAAATAAATTATTTGAAATAGCAATAATAAATATAAATTCAAATATTGAGATTTATCCGGATCAAAAGATACCTCGATTTTCATAGATGCAAAAGTCCCTCTAAGTCTGCCTCCATTTAATGAATGTGGATACAATTGTATCCCTATGCTCGGAAGATTTGACACGTAAGGATCCAAACGATATTACTGGTTAATCCATTAGATGGTCAAGCTAGTAAGCAAGCGCTGACTTATAATGCACAGACGTCGTGCGTTGGGAAATGCCTCTTAATCACGCCTAGGAAGAAATTAGTGTTAAGATACATGAAAGTTGGCTCAAGAACACTCTTAATAATAATAATAATAAATTCAGCCTATTAAATGATCAGCTCTTTAAATTAATTGATGTGTGGTTAAAATAACAAGTTAAATTTTATTCATATGGAGCGTTGATAAATGCATTATATTATATGTTTATTCTCTTTATATTTAGTTTATTTTATATGTATCATGTCTTATTATAATAAATAATGATCATATTTAGGTTTAGGACATAAAAAAGGAAATTGAGTGAAATTGTGCTTAAAGTTAGGAAATTTCAGCATGTTTGACTTAGAGCTTCTAAGCTTCTTGCAGATTTTCAGTAGCATTGGCGATAGAATTGGAAGAAGAGGTCTTCAATGCTTTTGTAGAGAAAAACTCAAGCTTTCCAAAATGATATGATGGGTCAAAATCCAAGTTTTTTAGGGCATTCAAACAATATTTCATATTCTAGTCTCGAAAGTTGATCCGAATCCTCTTTGAAGTCTAGATTAGTTACGACGTGTAATTCATAACTAGAGGTTCAGAATTCTAATTGATGCAAAGCCAAGCCCATGGAACCAATTGTAAGCATATCTAAAATTCTTATGCAGGTCTTGAGCGTAAACTAGGCCAATTTGATGGAGGAATTCAGCCACAAAATTGGATTTCTAAGGTTAGGCGGATAGGTTAAGTCGGTGATAGTGTTTTACTCATAAGTCAAGTTGTGAATCTTTGTTTGATTCAAGGCCTAATGTATTGGAAATATGAGAGATAGATCTATAACTTTCTTGAAGAGAGAAAACCCTAATTTGACATGTACCTAATCCATATCCGGCGTAAAAGACAAAACAAGCAATCAATTTTTTGATTTTTAGGAAATAATTTAGGATCGCCAAACGTTTTCCTTCTTTTGGGGGAATTTAAATGGGACTTGTAAAGGCGAAACATTCTCTTCTTCTTCTTCTTTTAGGTTTTTTTTTTTTTTGAATAATTTTTGGGTATTCTTTATATTAATGTCCGGTTAATTTTTTGTAGTTGATTTAAGAGAATTCAATATGTTAGTACAAATTATGAGACTCGTATTTTTAATTGAAAGTATTTGTAACACCCCCAATCTAGAACCTCGTAGGTAGAGAAAATTACCACTCGTTGATCTACATTCGAAGTGGAATGAATGCAAACCAATAAGGCACTATGTCTCGCCTATGACCTTACTAGGTATGGACTACACTCGCGAAAACCTATAAATGACAATAGGTCCTACGTTTCAATTCAAAATGCATTATAAATGTTTTGCATTTTATTATTTTATTTAGAATGATTGGACCGATCGGACTTGATATATGATGCTCGCTTTTTCTAAATTCCTTTTATATTAATTTATAGGAATTTATTTATTAACTCGTCCGTTATTCGAGACTTGATTTTCCTTTATCCATCTTAGTTACTATTCAATGTTATTATTTCCCTTAATTAATTTAATGATTAGAATTTATTAATTGGCATTAACATAAAAAGAGCTAACTAAAAGAAACTAATACTAACTATAACTCGATCATTTCACTAATACTATTTCGTTCCAAGTTCTAGTTACATAGAACTATAATTATTTTCATACAAGACAACTTAATGCCATACACCACAACAATGGCTTATTTACTTATTTACATCACATCACATCACCATTTACTAATTACTTATTCATAGCTTTAACTATTGCATAAAATAAACCCGTAATCCTCGGCACGTAAACCACAATACCGAGCACTAAGATAATGGGTAGTTGAAGGAGGTCCACTTATTGCCGAAGCTACATCCAAAATACACATGGTGCATAAATATCTCGATAATTAGCTCAATAATGAACATTGCCATTATTACTTGTAATGTCTACACCACAAAAAACTAAGTGAGCGACAGTTCAGTAAGTTAATCAATGCATGATGTGCATGTAAGTGAAATGCATATGATAAATTATATGCACGTCTTTTGAAAATCCTTTCTCATGTCATAAAATCCTCATCATAAATCATTTTGAAAATTTTTTTCTGTCTTGGACATGTTCCATTATAGGAACTTTAGGGTTTTCCATGAAATGCTTAGTGATCCGGATCGGTCCGCGAACATGTCCTGTCGAGCCTTGGTGCACATCTCGTACTACTCGATCCATGTAAACCATGAACCATGAATAATGAAAGTCATGAAACCGACGAAGCTCTTTCAAAAACCCATCATCATGAAAGTCATGAAAACCAAGTAACCATAAAATGCTTCTAATTGTTGTTGGAAAAGCCTTGACATAAAATTCTCTTTTTTATGACTTTAAACAATTTTCATAAACTTGACATATTCATGTATGTAATGCAAGTGCATTATGATTATGAATTAGGCTTTACATGCTAGATGAAATGCAATACGCAATATAAAATTTAATTTTAATGATGCATTTTATAACATTATAAACATGCATCATCATAAATATCTTACCCCTTAAATCGTGACCAAAATTTCATGATTCACATTCCAATCACAATATCATTACCACAAGATACAATGGCAACCCACATTTCAACATACGATCGAATAATGATAGATATTCAAACATTACGCAAACGTTCTATATACACATATAATCATACATAAACATACCAATTCACATTTCAAGAACACGCATCACACTAAAATTATCATAGAACCATCAATTGCACAATTATATATCAAATTACTTCAAAAACCCTAATTTAGGCCTAATGGACTAAAAGCCCAACTAACGTAAACTAGGATAGTTTTTCATATTTAACCAAAAATTTCATATTAACTCATTTTTATAGGCTAGTCTACACTAGAATTAATTAATTAAATGCTTAGGAATAAAAAACACTAAACCCTAATTTCTTTCTTAATTGGGCCAAATGTGAGCCTAAGGAAATTAGCATCAATTTCCATCTTTTCATGCAATTTCTCACTTCTTATCATCAATTCAAACTTAAACAACCATAATCAATCAATAGAATACCAAACAAATCAAAGTATCAAAAACCTCCAAATTCTCTCATTTGGTCAAATGCTTTCTCTCTCCTAACCTTTGGAGATGTTGATTTTTTCTTCCTCGAGTTTAAGCCTAATTAACATATTTAGACTTCAATTGCATGAATTTATAGCTCAAAATCATTTCCCTTTAATTAAACCTAACTAAGAACCCCAATCCTAATTTTTACAATTAATTCAATTAAGTCTAAATTGGAGTATCAAACACAAATTGACATGCAATTGAACTTCCTTGTGGTGTAGATGAGATTAACTTACCTAAAGTAAGCTCCAATTTACCCTTGAAAAGTTGAATTATATTAAAAATTCTTATTTTCCTTTTTCACCCAATATTTGGGCCAAGCTCCTTTAGTTTTCTCCTTGGAATTTTTGAGCTTGCAACTTGAAATTTGGACTTAATTAGGTGATTTAGGATGTATAACAATGGTTGGAAGTGATTTGGTGGAAATTGGATGGAAATTTAGCAAGAGTTTGCCTTGTATTTTTCTTTTTTCCTTGGATTTTTTCATTTTCCTTGCACCCATATTTATAGGCTAAATTGGTGGACTTTTGACTTAATCTCCACCCTTAATTTGGTGCAATATTGGCCCTTGATTCTTCTTTTAATCTTCTCCCATCATTTGGTTTAACCCTAACCTTTTATTCTTTTTTAAATTTTAACCCTCTTTCTAGCTCAATCCTAGCCACCTATTCAACCAAAAGTAAACCTTATTTAATGTATTAAGTCAGCAAAAGAGCGAGGAAAATCTCTCCCAAAATTTGCTCCAATTTGGTCCCTCAAA